GTGTGCCAGAATTTCAACCGTTTTGCCGTATCTCAAACCGTTTTCATAATATAAGCATTTTAAAACAATATTATGGACTTAAACAATTTTAGGTGGGTAAAAATGTAAAAAAAAAAACTATGAATAAGAAAGTACTATCTTTTGATGATGACAAGAGGTTTATTCTGGAAGATGACATTAATACTCTTGCTCTTGGTAATTATAAAATTGATCAAACGTAAATCTATAATTGCCGTTATTATTTAACCTTTCCATGTCTATTATAGAAAAGCCATATTAAGTTTTGTCCCAACTTTAGAGGAAGAGATTGTTAATTTGGTTAAATGAAATGTCATTACCAACATGATTGTTATACACATGTTTTAAAACTTAAATTGTCTTGTTTGGATAATATTAGGAAATTTACATTATAACATAAATGTTTGTGTACTTTGCTGCAAGATTTACACAAGTAAAAACAGTCAATATTTTTATGTCGACCTTTTGACAAAAATGGTGTAATATTTGGACTATTCATGTCATCAAATACAACAACTGACCGTGACTGTGATGTGAATTTTTGTGAACTTGTGTACTTCATCACACAAATTTCACATGAATAGTGAATTTCACTGTGACTGTGATGTAAATTCATGTGTACTTTATCACACACATTTCACACAACTTTTATAAATTTCACACAAATTTTACACAATTTGCGAAATTATGACAAAAATTTCACATGAATTGTGAATTTCACTGTGATTGTGATGTGAATTCGTGTGTACTTTATCACACATAATTCAAACAATTTTTATAAATTTCACAAAATTTTCTTATCTAATCTTAGTAAATTTCATCTAATTTACTATCAACTTACTCTTGCAAAAACTTTTTCAAGTTGCATTTTTATTGCTCAAACCTGGGGTATGATTTTGGTAACATATCAGATATTGTGTTAGGTTCAAACATATTTTTGTTTTTATTTGTTATAGAAAAGAAGATAAAATGTCCAGATCATTGTTCCAGGAAATACCCTGCACATTTAGGTGTAGGGTAAAAACGTTTGCTGCATACCCAGCATCATCCACAAATTTAGAAGAGTTTCTTTCCACTATACAACCAGAAATAGTAAATACTTTCCAGCAATGCTTAGAAACACTTGGCTCTTTTAAAGCCAATTTACTAGTAGAAGTGGAGTATTCAAATGGAGACGATGTGGTGACTATAAACCTAAATACCCCCGCCGCAGCAAACCTGCCGTCTAAGCGAATTTCCATTTAACTGAATTGATTTTCAATTGATCTATTTAAATAACATTAGGTTTAACGAGTACCTAGGTTTGCTGCTACAAGGAAACTAATAAATAGTGTGTTTTAAGTAAAATAATTATTGCTTAGTATAAAATGAATATATTTGCCAAGTTTTATCAAAAGATATCCATAAACAAGCAAACTACAACATTTTACAATATTCTCCATAAGAATAACATGGGAATTTTAAATTTAATTTTTTTTTAGTTTTCTCCGCAACCAATAACCGTACAAAAACACTTTGATATACTGAATTGTTTGTTTTTTTAAGCTCTTTAAGAAGGTTTAGAGAAAAAATGGAAAATTTTGTGTTTTGAGGGTCAAAAGTGAGAAAAACCAATTTTTACCCCATAAAACCCCCCATAAAATCCTGTTCCCATGGTCCGATCATGCTGGATCGCGAACTCATTCAAGTTTATCCCGCCTTACACCTTCAAACCAAATTTCATCAAAATCGGATAAAAATTACTCAAGTTATCGTGTTCACGGACACATATATATATAAATCTATATATATATATATATCTATATATATATATATACATATATAAAAATTTGAACGAATGGTGTTTTTGGCCTCTGGGGACATCAAAATGAAAAAGTAAATCGGTCCCGGGCCTAAGTCTTACCATGAGACCTACGGTAATAGCTACTTCCCTATAGGGAAATTCGCTAAAACAAAAAACAAGGGATTCTATAATTCTAGTAATTTGAAAGAGTTAGTTGATAGTGAATTAGACAAAATCAAGAATGAAATGCGAGAGTACCAGTTAAAGGGAAGTGGGCATACATTTTCAAATGTTAAAAAAGTTGAATTACGTGTAAACAGGCACTGTATATACTGAGATTTTATTTCGGTTATGTACATTGTAAATACATTTCTATTCTAATAGCCAATTTAGATTAGTCCATACAAACATTTTATTTTTATATGTACAACAAACAAGCCACCATTTATCTGTTAATAGTTGTAAAATTGTATGACGAATTTACATCATAGTCACAGCTAGTTGTTAAATAACATAAAATTTGTGTAAAAATTGTGTGAAATGTGTGAAATTTGAGTAAATTTTTTCACACAAATTCACTTCAAAGTTACAGTAAGTTGTAATATTGTGTGATATGTGTTAAATTTTTGTACAAATTGTGTGAAATGTGTGAAATTTGAGTAAAATCTTTCACACAAATTCACTTCAAAGTTACAGTAAGTTGTTATATTGTGTGAAGTGTTTGTACAAATTGTGTGAAATGTGTGAAAATTGTGTAAAATATTTTTACAAAAATTCACATCACAGTCAAAGTTAGTTGTTATATTGTATGAAATGTGTGAAATTTGTGTACAAATTGTGTGAAATGTGTGAAATATGAGTAACTAATTCACATCAAAGTCACGGGCCACAGTCAATTGTTGTGTTTAATGACATGAATAGTACAAATATTAAAACATTTTTGATATAAAAAATATAACTCCTTTTACTCATAGAAAAGTACACAAACACGTATATTAATATTCAAACAAACATCGTGTTTAAATTAATCAATCCAAAAATCTCTGACACTAATATCGGATTGATTTTAATAATTAACAAGGATAGGCTAAAACAAGTAGCAAATATTATTTTTATTTTCTTGTCGTACAGTATTGTACTTTTGTATATGTATGTTTGAATAACTTTTCCATTTAGATTAAAAGTTGTAGCTCATCATGATAATTGACTCTCAGATTTACATTGCATAGCCGTAGTGATTTGTCTATTATAATGATAACACAAAAGTAATATTATAAATAGTTCATGTTACAATTCAATATAATAAATGTATTTGTTATTGTATAGTATGTGCACTTGATGTTTACGACTCGAGGGGACAAATTTCAGAGTATTTTATGTAAAAACTCATATGTATTCTAGTAACAAATTTATAATAGTATTGATGACATATTGTACAATAAACCTCTTGACATCATGAAAATGTAGTACATTTTATCCCTAGTTAAGGTTTGAAGGTGATGATTTATAGATTTAATTCTTGCAACATTCTCATAGTAATCTTGGAACAGTTACAAGACAGATCAAATAATATAAGTCAATGGAGATGTTTAGCTTTGACAATATCTTTACTATATCCAGAGGTATCAAAAAAGTGCAAGTCACATTCTATTTCTTTGTAAAGGTCCTCTGTAACTATAGAAATCTTTTGTTCTTAAATTTGACATATAACTATATTTCGACTAAGTGGGTCTTGTATTAGTGTCTTCAATTTACAAGGTTGTAAGGTATTTTAAATTAATTTTTAATTTTAGAGTATTTTCTTGTAGCAAGACTTAAAATCACTTGTATCTCAAAAATGTCAAAAGATACAGCAAAACGATTAAAATTTAAGTATACTATATAATTTCCAACTTTTTATAAAAACCAATAATACATCTAAAAATTAAGAAAATGTTAAATATTATTTCATATGGATGACTCTAAAGGTAAGAGGTATTTATACAATATAACTGGAATAACATAAAAAGAGAATGACGATATTAAACCACTCGTACAACTAATGTATAGATAAGATAGAAATATAGACAACAACATATTATCAAACAACTGGAAAGGGAAAGTTTGCCCGCGCCATGAGCCTAGTTCGCGTGCAAACCACACACATACATGATTTTGAAATAGAAATATAATATATCAACTGGAAAGGGGAATGGTAGATGTACTAGCAATTGTGCATGGGGCAGAGGGGAGTGTTGAGGGGGGGAGGGGGGGAGTTGACCCAAAAACCTCGAACCACAAAAAACGGCGGCGACAACCTATACTACTATTTGCCTATATTTTAAAGGTGTACTTTAATCATACCTTATGCATTTTCCTCATAAAACCATATAATTCAACCTGTTAACTACTTGCCTATGTTTCCAAGCTATATTAATCCTTTTTCACGTAGGCATTCAACTAAATTTCAAATATAACGCTATAAAATGGAAAGTATAAAAGCAGAGTAATTAATATGAACAATTAGTTTTGTAACCATCTCCAGTCAATTATAATCTAACTGATTGCTAAAGAGCGCCTTTCAGCCGAATCTATCTGTAGCATTTTTTTGAAAACAATTAAAACATTAAATCATTCAGAATTAAATATTTTTTATCAAAAATAGAATTAATCAACGCTTTATTAATTACATGTTTTATCGATTATTATATCAAAAGCTGTGTTGCTGGTAAATTTAGGTAAAGAGAAACAGTTTATTTATAAATCAACCAACCTTGCAATTTTAACTTCGTCCACCAATCAAATTAGAAACCCCTTTAAAAGAAGAAAAATAAGTACAAGCAAATGTTATTGATTTACATTGATGGCTCCGTTATTTTAATCTATCATTTATTATTTCCAATTATAATCAAAAATGTACTGATACAGGGCTCTGGTACAGTGTGAAATGTTAACTTGTATAATATGAGAGCATAAAATCATAACTCTTAAACGTTTATAACTAAGGTCGTACAAAATCAGCAGATGGTCCAAGTGATGAATTAAGATAGTAAATGCTGTAACATAACATGTAAAACCTTTATCGAACGTATTCATAATGTTGTTTTATCGATCAAATTGACACTAATAAGAGATTTTAAGATATCGGAAGACTGACATATCATTGAATCTCTATATCAAATTTATTGTCGATTTATTAATAGTTATAGTTTTTTTTTTTTTTCAATTCAATGGCTATCACGTTTTCTTTGTTGACTCTTGTGATTTCCGATGCTTATTTCACACAGTTTGAGCGTTACGATTTTTGACAAGTTATTTACTGCAATTATGATGTAGTAACTTTGGTTATGGACAGTTGGAGATAAGGTTTTCTGTTTTCTGCTGTGTTTTATGTTTGACAGTATGTTATGGTGGACGCGTTACATGTGCTAGTAGTCCAGTAGGGATGTGCTGGTGAGGTCCCTCGTCTGTGACAGATTTGCTCGCACCACCTCCACCAGCTGTTTGGCGGTCTTGAGATGAGTCACCCTCTCCAACTCGTGGATATGTATTGGCACCTCAGACTGCATGTGTCTGTACAGCTCCAGTTTCCTGAACAATAACATCGGTGTGACAAGTAAGCAATACATCTTGAATGAGGATATTTCAACTCGTGAAGATGAGTCATTTACCTTTTCCTCAGGTTGGATGTCTTCCTATAGTTGACAATGGCGTAGTGGACTGTGTACGCGGGTGTGGTAGTGAGGACTGCCTCGCCAAAGTCCAAGAAGATGTGAAGGTCCGGTCTGAGGAGATCCTCTGGGTAGTGGAAGAACTCGGCAGAGATTGGAGGCAGAGCTCCGGCGTGGAACACCCTGGTCACTGTGAACGCCAGCTGCTCCGTCCAGTAACTGCAAACCATCCAAATTGAACAATAAAATAATATGTTTGAAGTGTTTCCATTTTTTTATTTTCCTTATATTATTTAGTTAAGTATGCTGTTGTGCACTGTATAAATACTATTATAAAAATACTCTTCCAATAACACAACATCAGTCTTTGATCCTTGTACACACATATAACCATGAATAAAGGAGATGACTATCCATACAAATCCAATAGCTGTATGCCTTCTATTTGGGAAAGGTGTACAAATAGATAACACTTGACGTACGTTAAACAACAACAACAATGGGATAATAAGTTTTACAGGAGAATGTGTCAAGTGTAACATTCTGGACGCTGATTAGCTCATACACTACTAGTCAAATACAATGGTATAACGAGAACTGTACCTGTTGACAACGACTGGGCGGTCCAGCGAGATCTGCACTTTGGCGTCGAATGCTGTGGCGTAGAGCGAGAGGAACTGTAGGGGTCGTCGCAGTGGGTGGCTGCCCATGAGCTGCGTACTGTACTTGCGTAGACACGGGGCCACCTGACTGATGAGTCGTCCTCCGAGGAGCTGGGCTAGCTTCTGGCCTATCACTGTCTTGCCTGTACAGTGTACACACAAAGATTACATATCATCTCGACATATTGGTCTTCTTGTACTTAATAGTGGTCTTTGTAAACTAGCCCAATCGCTTTTGATGCCAATGGTGTCAAATTTGGGCAATTAGTCGTATTGAGAATGTGACAGCAACATAACAAATGTTAAATGAACTGACCGATTGGCTTGAATATTATGTGGCTGTCAACAATTTACAAATTAATGTTAACAGCTCATCCTTGCTGTTTACAGCTCATCCTTGCTGTTTACAGCTTTCCTTGTTAGAAAAGTCTAAATCTTTTACTTACTTATTGAAATGCTTAACCAAAAGCATCATGCAATTAAATTTGATTGAATTTATCATATTTACAAAAATGATCATGCAAAACTGATTAAAATTGAAAATTCAAATTCAGGCATGCGTACAAATCCAGTGCCTATGTTTAAACTACTACTAAGTGAAATTCAATTCAGTATGTGTATACATTTCTAGTGTTATAGACGAGTCTTTTATGTAGTTGTGCCAATAATCATGGTCCAAGAAAATAATACGTTCCAGTAGTACAACTTTCACCAAAATCGTATAAAAACTGTATTCCTCGTATGAAATAACTAGGATTGAATTTTAGGAATTACGACTGAATGTAGTTCATAATTTGAATCGAACTAAAAACCAGCTTACGTTGAAAAGACATAAACGTGTGTGCTAATAGTAAGTACAGATGTTTTATGGTGTTTGCAGGAAATGTGTGTCTTATACTAAGTGATTTGTTTAGTGGGTACTGACTGGAGCGATGGTTGCCCTCGATGACAATGAAGGGTTTGCGCCGTTCCTCGGTCAGCACCGGCTCCTCGGTGTATCTGCACACACTCAGGTACGTGTCTATTATCTGCTTGGCTATCGGTGACTGTATACAGACCAATGGTGGTTAGTAATTGGTTATAACCTAGACAAATGTATCAAAAAATGTCTCCCCTTACATTTATTCTAACTTGAAGTATATCGTGTCCTTGAAATAAGACAAATTAGCTACTTAATTTCATTTAGTTACATAAATAATCTGTTTTATTTGTTATGAAAGATCCAAATTAAATCCCTCCACCCTATCCTTGCGCGGTAAAACTTAAAAATCTATGTAAAGATGATCGTCAGACTGGAACTAGAGCCTTCAGCATATTAGACGAAACATTGTATGTTCATTCTATTTTATCCTAAGCTTGAGTTTCCCCATTTAGTGGGTACTGACTGGAGCGATGGTTGCCCTCGATGACAATGAAGGGTTTGCGCCGTTCCTCGGTCAGCACCGGCTCCTCGGTGTATCTGCACACACTCAGGTACGTGTCTATTATCTGCTTGGCTATCGGCGACTATGGCTACTTTCTTGTGATTCAAACTATTTTCCCTACAAAATTTCTGGACGATAAAACATTTTAAATGTCTGTTTTTTTCCACTAATTAAGAGGGTTCCACCCACTGGCTGTTTACCACGTAAAATTGGTCCTACAAAAAAGAACCTCCTGGCATTATTAAAGTAGTCATCGAGTTTAAATAAACTGTAAAATATTCACAAAGATCCAAATTATGCACTGGCTGAACTGAAATTTCATCATTGTTTATTTAAGTAGTAACAAAATCGTTTTGAAAATCCGTAAGTTATTCTTTTTCACATGCACTATCAACTTCTGAATAATAGTAAGAAAAGTTATTTTTGTTCCACCCACTGCAAGTTCTGATTTGTTAAGAGCACAAAAAGCACATAATCGTTGGAAACAAATTAGTTTTAGAGTGTTGAGAGCTTCTTTTTTAGGGGCATATTTAGAAACATTAGCATGTTTAGCCACCATCTTGAATTGACCGGTAGAACCCTCTTATGTACCATAGTGAGAAGCAATATAAAGCTACTTAATAGCAAGTATATCAATATTGATATTATTAAATTAAATACTGATACCCCGCCCCAGAAAACCTTCATACTAGGCGAATTTCCATTTTTTTTTATTTGATTTGCACTCAAATATTTCTTTAAAAATTTATTTTAATTATAACTCGACTATGAAGTCTAGTCAAAAATTAACAGCAACTTAGGTTTGCTTATAAATTAAAATAAATCATCCTGGGAAGGTGATAAAGAGTATTTTTAAATTAAATTTAGCTTAACCGAACTTAGATAAAAAGCTTAGTAATAGATAAAATTTACTAATATATAAAATTTAATCAAAATACTTGTATACCCATAAACAACTAAACTAGAAAATCTTATTCATTCTCCATAAGGATAAAAAGCCAATTTAAAATTTACAGTTTGTTAAAAATATTTTTAAGATGTACAACAAAACTTAATATTACTTTATTTTTAGTTTTTAAGGTCTACAAACTAGTCTAGACATAAATTTCAAAACTTTTTTTAAGAGTCACAATGGGAAAAGCCACATTTTATTCCATAAACACGTTCTCATTGTCCATGCTGGTTGGCAATTTTGATTAAATGAATGTAGGTTTACACGTTTGACCCAAATTTCATAATAATCTGATGATTTTTCACTCTAGTTATCGTGCTAACGCACACAAAGTAAATAAATAAATCTATATATCAAAACTACATAGATACCACTTCTTACCGGATCTCTTCTAAATATATTTAGAACTTCTTGCAGATTTTTGTAAAGTCCTAGCTCATGCCTCGCCTCCGCTTCCTCTGCAAATGATTATTTTATAGTTACTTACTATAGATGTTCCATTAAAAGAGATATTCCCCTTTATTGAAAGCATATAATGTGTGATACCATTTATCATCAGAGTTAAGGTGAGGAATTAAAACCGCATAATGGATTTGGACCGCTTTACCTAAAAGCGTTTAAGTTATTCACCTGTGCAACTCAAATAAAAGCTCCGTCGTGTCAACAAAAAAATTCATGAACAAATAAAAATTAAATAAATATTGCCAAGCCATTCCAATATTCCAATATTCACTGTTTGCTCTTTCTGTAAAAATTCCATTTAAAACACTTCAATTAAATAGCTCCAGTGCATGTTGTATGATTGAAAAACAAATGTAATAGTAGATTGTTTGATATTAATATTATTTGTTCATCCTTTTATTTTTCAACAGCCACTATAGTCATGAATTTTATATTTGTAGTACAGTAGCCAATTTTAGCATTTTAATTTTTTTTAATTTCAAGTGCATGTATCGTCTAGTTTTAGTTATAGTTGACAAAAGTTAATTTTATGAACGGATATTTAATATAGTTCAGTTGGCAATTTCAATGAATAGAAATTCAAGTGAAATGTCGTACAGGAGTACTAGAGTAAAATTATTGTTTATTAAACCAAAAGAGTTGTGTGAATGGACAGTATACTGTATGTTTGTTTTCATAAATTATTCTGACAGTTTACATACACTCACCATCCCCAAAAGGTACTTGAGCCTTGCATTTACACAAAACTAATATATGCAAAATAATCACAAGCGACATGGAATGGATGAATTAAATAACATAGTGACGTATGACTGAGGCACAGACCAGACAATGCCCGATAAGACATGGGTGTGACAGATAGCCTAGGAATGTTAGTGATAACCTGGAGCCACATAGGCACGCAAAATATTCTTTTGTTACTAAATGTAATATTAATTACGTTTATTTTGTTAATTTAGGTCGAAAAGAATATTCAAGTGCACGTGGGAATTCCGCTGGTGTTTTGTGTTGGTAGAAATCGTAGCCTATGCCCACGCTGAACTATGCACAAAAATAGTGCATTACGGAAATAGGTTTACGTTTTGTTTTTGCAGCTTTCTAATACACAAAGGTTTGAAAGCTTCACAAAAGAATATTCACAGAAGGCTTGTCTAATCAAAAAGCAACACACAACTATAATGGTGTTGCTGCAAATATAATGGGGACATTTGATATGTCTACCTCTTAACTATACTAAACCAAGCTACGGAGTCAGAAACTGTGTTTAAGCATTTCCCTATATACCCTTTTTCAGCTTTTATTACCTGGACTATATTTTATATTGACCTTTCTTAATTATATTCCTCATTTAAAAAGACATATCCTACAACCAATATTGACCATATATTGTCATAGTTGGGTGTGGTTTGAAATAAGGTTACTCAACAATTTATTACAGTTAGTAAAGGGTAAATATAAGCTAATGATTGTTTCACATCGTGGATCAGATTTAAATAATAAATTCTTTTAATTAAATAGAGAAGTGTATTACCATGCAAAATTAAATGTTATTCGCGTTTTCCAGCTTAAAAGTAGGATTTTATATCAAATTATTTATTTTAATTTTGGTAAATTAACCAATTCAAAATTAAAGTTGTTTTAATTTAGTACGCATTGGAAAATTAAATTTGCTCTTATAAGATTTTACATACATTGTCGAAGATATCTGTAAGATGTTTCTAAATCTCCAAATAAAGTTTCAATTGTAAAATTTTGCTTGCTAATTAATGTATAAGGTAATCGATAACTTCACTCATCCGTTGTAGATTCACTGTAAAAGCTTGTTCTAAGAAATTCACTTCGTAAATGTTTGCACACAAAGTTCACTGAGATGTGTGGAACCTGCCCGCTTTGTACAGCGCGACTTTGATATTTTAGTCGTTTAGCAGGTAAAGCGGCCCTCCATTACAGACCTCTATTACAAACGTTAATGATACAGAAAAATACTTTCAAACGTAGCCATCCAAACTTAATCAAGTTAACGGACACAATCACGCAGCCTTTGAAATGCAATCTTTGCCAAGACTTTGAGTGTTTCCCGGTTTTTGATTACGAAACTCCTAATTTGAAAAGGTAATAACAAAGTCCACAGACTATTTTTCCGAGAATGAATCTCAAAAGTCTTGTGTTCTAGGTTTTCCTTATTTTTAGAGTTGTCAAGTAATTTGTGATTTATACTTTTATAAAAATCTATAAGCAAACAATAAACGCGCTGATAAATTATTTTTCAGGCTTTTAACTAAATTTACCAAGAAAAAGCATTTTCTTTACATTTTAGCGAATTTCCCTATAGGGAAGTAGCTATTACCGTAGGTGGCCATGGTAAGACCTAGACCCGGGACCGATTTACTTTTTCATTTTGATGTCCCCAGAGGCCAAAAACACCATTCGTTCAAATTTTTATATATGTATATATATATATATATATATAGACTTATATATATATATATACGTCCGTGAACGCGATAACTTGAGTAATTTTTGTCCGATTTTGATGAAATTTGGTTTGAAGGTGTAAGGCAGGATAAACTTGAATGAGTTCGCGAACCAGCACGATCGGACCATTGGAACGGGGCTTTACGGGGGGTTTTATGGGGTAAAAATTGGTTTTTCTCACTTTTGACCCTCAAAACACAAAATTTCCTGATTTCTCTTTAGACCGTTTTAAAGAGCTTAAAAAAACAAATAATTTAGTATATAAAAGTATTTTTATTCAATTATTAGTAACGAAGAAAATTAAAAAAAAATTGTAAATTTAAAATTCCCATGTTATTCTTATGGAGAATATTGTCAAATGTTGTAGTTTGCTTGTTTATGGATATATTTTGATCAAACTTGGCAAATTTATTTATTTTGTACTAAGCTATCAATATTTTACTCAAAAACACACTTTATTAGTTTCCTTGTTGCAGCAAACCTAGGTACTTGTTAAACCTAATGTTATTAAAATATATTTAACTGAAAATCAATTCAGACAAATGGAAATTCGCTTAGTCGGCAGGTTTGCTGCGGCGGGGGTATTTTAATTTTGTAATCGTTTTCATCCTAGACTGATTTGTTTATAATTTGCTGATTAAAATAAACTCTTTTAAAGTTGTCTTCACTTTTTTACTACATTTGTATTTCTTTCGTGTTGATTTCATAGTAAATAGAAGTCTAGTGTGTTCTAGTTAATAATAATCTATCAAAAACAGTATTTTATAGATACATGCACAGATAACATGACATTTCAATTAATTTTAAGCAGGTATAGTTTGAATATTACCTGGCGTGAAAAATGCTTGTTGAAAGAATTTAAAGGTCAACACTTACTTGTGAAGCATATTATTGCACCAAATTCATGTTGCCTACATGCACAGATTCTCTGAATGAATTGCCATGCGTCCTTGCATGGCATGGCATGTGACCCCAAATAGGAAATTCTAAAATTCCGTTAGCAGATAGTTTAGACATACAAAATTAAATGGCAAAATTTTTATTGATGTTTTTTTTTTATAAAGTAAAACGTAAGCATAGGTAATACAATAAATTTCTATGTTACCCTTGATAAAATGTTGTATTGTGGTGTGGTTTGTAAACCATGCAGGTCTTGTTGAAGGCGTGTGTTGTTTAATTTCACTCATATAGGCCTATTAATCAACCTTCAACGAAACATAGACTGCCATTGAATGAATAGTTTGCAGTTAAAGCTCAATTACTCTTTGTTTACTATAATTTGTTTAAAAATATTATGACTCTAAACAAACCTTAAATCAACATCTATATCTTTTTATTATTCGCTTTGCAGTATACATGTTAATAACATTGATCATAAAATAGAATAATAGCAACTATACTAAAAGTATGTAACTAAATATTCAATTTTCACTCATTACTAACTGAAATGCAGAGTGGTGCTGAAGATTTTCAAGAGATGTCATCACCCCATCAACTTGGATATGGTTTCATAAGAATAAAGTACAGCAACTTATCCGTACAAATAACAATCACAAAATGAATAGTATCCTTAATCGTTTTTTGCCAAATTTGGGGGCAAAGTTGCATTAACACCTATAATTGATTTATCATGTGTTTGGTTATCTTCTTGGAATCTTTTAATAGCAATGTTGTATTATAATTTTGTTCTCGTATAATTTCCTTCATAAATGTTAATAATTTTGTAACATATTAACAATGTCTTCTAAATCTTCATTAACAAAATTATCTTCATTTTTATCTTTAAAGTCGCACATTTGTTCAATAATTCATTGTTTTATAGTGTATTAGTGTTTTCTGATTGCTTTTTGAAAACTGATTACTTTAATCAAACTGCTTGCATTCACAGTATTGCCAATATTAATGATGGAATATTCTTTAGGTTATAATTTTGATACAATGGAATTTTATTTTATTAACATATGATATTACAGTATTCAATGGTGGAAACGAATTTGTAATTTAAACTGTAATAAAAACTAAAAATTGGTTTTTGAATCAAATAAATTTTGATTTATTTGATTACTGAATTTAATACAGAAAACTAATAAATACATAACAATGTATCTTTATTACTATGTTAGAAAATCACACTCTTGAGGGATGAACAAGAATTAAAAATTCCTTATTCAAAATGCTTTGTACATTTTATACTTTAAATTTATTGAACAATTAATTACCATTTTTTCGAATGGGTAGCCTCCGGATTATCGAGATACAATTAGAGTGGTTTAAATACCTGTAATGTCGACAATCCCAACTGGTTGTGAAAAACCTGAAGATGGCTCCGTTATGAGCCGAATTCACAACCACTTGGGATTGTCGACATTACAGGTATTTAAACCACTCTAATTAATTACCATCCATAATTGATAGCCTATTAAACATGTATAGGTCTACTTAAAAGATAATTATGTACAAGAAAAAGGTAATTTTACATTAATAGTATATACCCTTGTCGTAATTATTTACTTTATTCTTTTTAATTACATACAAATGTGTTGTGGCAATTCCTCGTATGCAAGATGTTTGATTCACAAAGGCTGAGGCTGGGGACCTTACATTAGGTGAGACAAGGAGTAATTGTCTGTCTAGGAGACAAACTCGGGTTAATTGAACATTTATCTCACACTGGAGTAGAGGAGAAGATGCTGAGTGGAGTCTCAAGGGAAGAATTACTCCATACAATCTGTAGCTTACGTCTCAACTGGTATAATTATTGTTTTATTTAGATAAGCTTTAGTTTATAATAGAGCTCAGACCTGACCATTTATTTGTGCAAGTATTACTTTCTTGATTAGAACCACACCACACCTAAAAAACAATTTTTTAACAACTTGTAAATAATATTTAAGGAATAGTATACAGTTTTATAGAATATTTTTTATATACTTTGTTTAACAATTTTAAAATATTACACTTATTAATACTAAAGATCTAAGGGTCTGGTAAGAACCAGTCTTGTTGTTTTTGGCATAGGTACGGTTACAAATGGATTTTGAGGATTACCCAAAATTATGTAATTGGTGTAAAGATTTCTAATAAACTGTACAAAGTTGTTCAAACAAATTTATGTTAAAAAAATTCCTTATTACAAATAAGCATTTAATTAAAACGTCATATTTTTGTTTTTGTCAAAAGAATACATACTACCATACCCGAGAGAGGAAGGTGGATTAAAAGAATAACCATACAGTGCTGTAGTATGATGTAGGCTTATTTTTAGGAAATAATACAAGTAACTTGACTATTTTGTGGACAACATCTTTTAAAATACATTAAGACCTCGTTTTTCTAACACTGATTTTTTCAAAACTTTCCATGGGGGGCCTCCGAATCCCCACTCCCCCCCCCCCCCGACATACCAGACCCCGGTAAGTCACCGTCCTCTCTACAACCAATGAACACCTACAACTCTCTGGATACTCCCTTAAAAGAGTAAGTCTGGATAGCTGATCTATGTATTTTCATAGATTAAACATACTCCCTTAGTAGAATTAAAATCATTTCGTAACATCTGAAAGCAATTGTATTGCTATTTCCATCCCGTGCCAATAGGTTTGTGATTTTGTTTACGATTTTTTTTGTTATTTCAGTTATTTAAAACCTCCTTTAGCCAAATAAAACTATATGATCATAAACAAAGCTCGTCCATCATAAATAAAGCACAAATCATAAAATTAACCCTAAAATATATAAACAAAATGTTGTCGACATTAGCGCCCAGTGTCAACAGCGTGAACTAGACAAGAAGATTTTACAATGGGATGAGAAGTCTACTAACTTGTGTTGGTTAGTCCATGGTATTACTTACTACAGTATATATAAAAATATATTTGTATTAAAAAAAGAGTATACACTATAAAAATCTGTGAGTTGGTATTTGAGAGTTGTTAGCATTTTGGAACTGGTCATAGTATTGCCTCATGTTTTGGAACTTGTCGTAGAAGTGCTTGCGGATGTGTCTGTGTATGTCCTCAGTGGTGAGTTTGAACAATGACTTGACATCTTTGATGACGATCGGGTGACGGACTTTCAAGTACTCGAACACATCTGCCATCCTGCAAACACTTAATTGTATCATGTCTTTGAACTCATGTCAATATTAATTTGCTAATACCAACATTCATTGTATGGATCATTGGGCTTTAAAACAATGGTGCTGACTAACAAACCATTGATCATGGGCAGTAACAAATAGTAAATATTATGATTCAATGTTGATTTTATGTAATTAAAAGCAGAGTACCCGTCCTTCGTTCGGGGTCGGCAAATAAGTATAAAATGTGTATTGCAGTTATACTCGAGCTTTGCGTTTGCAATGGGGGAGGACACAGTTTGATCAAATTTGCTTCTTTTAATTTACGATATACTATAGTTTTACACATCTACCATAGCCATAATCTTCTACCACTTCACCTAAACAATAGAGAAAAATAAATTGTAAAAAGTTTGCAAAATATCACAATTTATTCATGAAATTAAAACATAACTGTAAACAATCCTATTTTGACAGTTCTCATTGCGTATCACAGTTTTTATCAAGCTTTTTTTAGCTGTTATCAAAAATGCAAGAAATAATAATAGTGCTGCACCCTGTTGGTAAATATTGTAACTTTTTAATGCTTTTGCTTATGAATACTCATAAGGTTAACATTGGGAACTGCAGAGCCACTGGGGCGGAGCCCGGAAGGATTTTTGAGATAGGAATGTGCCTATATGTTAATCGGGAATGTGAGCTATCATCATGCCAAATTTCAGCCCAATCCGTCCACTCAATAATGCGTGATTGAACTTCAAACAAACAAACAAACAAACAAACAAACACACAAATGTTCACATTTTATAATATTAGTAAGATGTAAAGGTAGCTTTTATTTAGTTCACCGTTCAAAGACAATACAAGTGAATACATTTTCTTTAAATTTAAAATGACATTTTAACATTTTAAAATTTTACATTTTGTTTAAATTGCCATGTGAGTATGGCAAATATCTCAACACACATAGGCTACCTAAAATTAAAAGCAACTGTGGGACCAGACCTAAGTGCGTATTTCTGCACGATGCTAGAGAGTAGTACAATTGGATGTACGTTAAAGTACTTGTTATTGTGTCAATTTTTGCCTTGACCATATTCTAGTTTAATTTTAACTTAGCTTTAATTGAAACATTAAAATGTAATGTATTGTAATTTTTTAATTAATGAAAATGTATCACCTCTTTTTCCATCTGACAGGGTTTTTTGTGGACACATGTCTGGGCAGCAGGGTCTGGGGGAAGTTGAGGTAGAAGATGTAGTCTGGCTTTAGCAGTTCTTGAGGCCAGTTGAACACATCTGATGTGATTGGAGGGAATGATTCGTTGCCATAAAACTGCGCCAGTGTAAATGCAAACTTCTCTGTCCAGTACCTGGCAGATTACATCAAATTAAATATGATTCACTTTACACCAGACGTGCTATGAATGAGAATAGTTGTATTAATCATCTCACAGTTTATTTTATACTGTTTGTTAAAATTAAACAAATAACAATTACACGTATTAAATAATTAATATATTATCCACCTAAATTTACTAGATTTGTACCAAAGAGAACATGATGAAATGGCTCCCTTATAAAGTTTGCTGCACTTACAGTTATCATTTCTCTTTTATTTTTTCATGTAACAATTTTTTGGAAGATAAAAGATACTATGCTATATTTTAAAGTAATATTGATAAGAAAAAGGTTAGTCCAGTTTGACAATATAAAAAGTTTGTATACAGGAAAGGATATACACTATACGGGGATTTTCAAAAATATGTACCCAACTTCATGACTTTGTATCTCAAAAAGTATAAATCGGATAGACATGAACTTAACACCATTAAAAAAGGGAAATTTCAAAGATTTTTTGCCATTATTGTTCCGTAAATGGCCGAAAAATTTATCGCAACAATGGGCAGCAATTTAGTTTTACCACCTGTTGTTAGTAAGATGCCTACCATGCAACATAAGACTTTCTGTGTGACAGAGTTTGCAATAACCGAGTCTCCTATTTCAGTACAGCGGGCTTTTCTTCGCATCAATTTCAGTACGGTATTCAACCACCAACTAGAAAAATCATTTAACTCGTTGGTTTAGACAATTTCAAGAAATTTGTGACTCAAGTCGAATTTATGTCTCGTGTGTGGTGTGTGGTATGAATTCAGCTATTGCCTAGATGTATGCCATGCAGCACATGGGGGACACATTGAGCATTTGTAATCAGTGTAAATAAAACTTTGTAATTTTCTATTTCTAACGGTGTGAAAGTTATTTGTTTTTTATACTTTTCGAGATACAAAGTCCCGAAACTGGGTTCATTTTTTTAATATCCCTGTATTTTATGGTACTTTACAGTAGCACTTGTTATCTCTGGCTCAGCTGAACAAAGCTTTGTTTTACTTTCTCCTCCTACATATTTTAGTTTATGTCAAATCTTCGAGTCTGGGTTTTGGGTGGAAATGTCCGTTTTTGGCCCCCCCCCTCAACCCGAAAAGGTGGTTTTCAAAGTGATGGCTTGTGTGTGGAAGTGTAAAGAGCTGCAGACCTGTACTCCTATTTTGACTAAATTTTTTATACGTGTGCCTTACTAATCCATGGTATTAGCAGGTTGTTTTCTTTTTTAAATTTTTATTTTTTTATTTTGTAATTTTTCCCATAAAATAACGAAAAATCGTATTTTTACAAAACCGCTTGAATAATTTTGATTATTTAGTATGTTACAGTCATTTTTATTGTAAACAAAATTGTATAAATACCCCCGCCGCAGCAAACCTGCAGACTAAGCGAATTTCTATTTGGCTGATTAGATTTACACTAAATTGTCTCCTTAAAAATATCACTTTAATTCCCTATTTAAATAGAATCAGTTTAACAAGTACTTAGGTTTGCTGCATTAGGGAGGGTAAAACTGTTACTTTCTCCCCCTATACCATAGTATATGGAGAAAGTATTGTTTTCGTCAAAATTTTCGAGTTTGAGTTTTGAGTGGATATGTTCGTTTTGGGTCCCCCTGGACCCAAAAAAGTGGTTTTCGAAGTGATGTCTGTGTGTATGGATGTGTACAGAGCTAGAGACTACACCTGTGGTCCGATTTCGATGAAATTTGGAATGTAGGTTCTAATCCATAGTATCTCCAGGTGTTTTTTTCATTTTTTTGAAATTTTGATTTTTAATGAGGATTTTTCCATAAAAACCCATAAAAAACAGGAGAAATCGGATTTTCTCAAAAATGGCCCGAACGATTTTGACAAAAATTTAGTATGTTGTAGCCCTTTAAATTATGAACAAAATGGTACAAATCCCATTTCTGTAAAAATTACGGTTCAAAAGTTATGGTTGATTATGTTATTTTCCCATATAAACCCCATAAAATAACAAAAAATAAGATTTTAGACAAAAATCTGGTTTTGATTTAACATAGTATGTTATGGTCCTTACAATTTCGACAGTTTTTTTTTTTCATTTTTTAGAAATTTTGATTTTTAATGGGGATTTTCCCATAAAACCCCATAAAATAACGGAAAAAATAGGATCTTCCTAAAAATGGCCCGAACGATTTTGATAAAAATTTTGTATGTTATAGTCCTTTACATTCTGAACAAAATGGTACAAATCCCATCTCTGTAAAAATTACGGTTCAAAAGTTATTGTAAATTATGTGTTTTTCCCCATAAAAACCCCATAAAGTAACAGAAAATCAGATTTCCCCAATATTGCCTCGAACGATTTTGATAAAAAATAGTATGTTATAGTCCTTTAAATTCTGAAGAAAATTGTACAAATCCCATTTTTGTATATTTACTCTCACCGCTTACACATGATAAAGGTTGTTGACAAACTTATGGGAGAAAGTATGTGTCAGAATGCTGATACCGTTTATTTTTTGTTGTTTTATTTTTGTAAAATGTTAATAGTTAGTAAGAAATAAAAACATTTTCCAAATTTGATCAAAATATGTTCGTAAACAAGCAAACTACAACAGTTTACTTGTTCTCCATAAGAATAACATGGGAATTTTAAATTTAAAATTTTTTGGAATTTTCTCCGTAACCATTAGGATAATGCACCTAATGGTTACGGAGAAAATTCCAAAAAATTTTAATTTTTAAACGCTTCAATATACTAAATTATTTGTTTTTTTAAGCTCTACAAAATTGTTTGGAAAGAAATTGCAAAATTTTATGTTTTTTGGGTAAAAATGGGAAAAACCCATTTTTACCCCATAAAAAGCCCCCATAAACCCCCGTTCCCATGGTCCGATCATGCTGGTTCGCGAACTCGTTCGAATAAACGTAGGTTTACACGTTTGTACCAAATTTCTTCAAAATCGGATCATTTTTGCTCGAGTTATCGTGCTAACGGACACATATATATATATATGAATTTGAACGGATGGGTTTTTTGGCCTCTAGGGACCTCAAAACGAAAAAAAATCGGTCTCGGGTCCAGGTCTTACCATGAGTACTACGGTAATAGCTTATTCACTATATGGGAAATTCGCTAAAAAGACGGTTCAAAAGTTATTGGATTTTACCTATAAAATATTATAATCACTCCCACCAATTGCTCATTTAAGGGTTGACAAGCTAATTAGAGGAAGTATGTTTCAGTTTTCTGATTACGTTTTTATTTATTTTAAAAGTGGCTACCACTTTTACACGGGAATATAATTTCCTTATCACAAGAACGTGTAACCTATCAATAGTCAAAGATTTCTAATACTGTGAAAGTGAAAACTTACCCATTGATCACGATAGGCCGGTTGGAGTTTCCTTTAGCAAAGAACGACACGGCGTAGTCAGAGAGCAGATAGTAAGCTCTACGGAGGAGGGTACCTTTAGGTATCTGGCTGTGGTACCTGTGTATACAAGGTGCAGGGTGGCTAAGTAGTCTCGCATTCATCATCTCTGCTAGACCTGCAGATATCATTTCTCTACCTGTGTGCAATCACGAATCCTTATTTCATGTGTTAAACTGGTCCCAAGCATTCAAAAGTATTCAAAGTAAACCAATCTATACAGGGGGACAATAAATTCTGAAACCTCTTTTTAAACTTTTAAACCACAATAGGAAAAAATACCAAAGTTCACACGTGCTTACTGTTGATAGTAACGCACACATCTGCCCAATTACCGACCGGATAACCCCTTTGGGTCCACAAGGAGTCAGACAAAATTCTTAAATAGCAGCATAGGTCGAGTTTGGTATCAAATTAAAGGTCTCCGTTAGTAAAATACAATCCCACGTTTCCAAACTCAAACGGACAACCAAGTCAAAAATGGCATCCGTTCAAATATTTCTTTAATCTGCCATTTTGAATCTTTGAACGGCTGTTTTTTTTTTTACCCAGCTCATATTTTGAGTTCAAATTTGTGGCATTGTATTCTACTAATGTGATCTGCATATCGACCTATGCTTACGTTTATGATTTTCATCCAACTTCGTCTAGCGGTCACCTCGCAGTTCAATAATAAGCATTGCAATTCAATTAACGAATGTAATCTTGAAAAGTTAAATGGGTATTGCATTGTATTCGTTTTGTTAAACAAGTTTTGGACCCTATTAAACTGCTCAATTTGTACAGGGGTTCCCTTGTTTGTCATTTAAAGAAATTCGTGTGATTATAATTTACTTGTTAACACATCTACTTTTTTACTCAATATCCATCTGTGATGGGGTAAAACTCACTAGAGCGGTGGTTGCCCTCGATGACGATCACTGGCCTCATGACAGTGTGCCCCGCTCTCTCTCGCATCACTGGATTCGCACACTCCATTAAAAATGTTTCCAATATTTCCTTTGCCAGAGGATCCTGTTAAAATAATGTGTGTAGTGTACAGACAATTCTTTTAGCAGTCATTGCTCTTAGAGATTTGCAGGTTTTTGTATTGTTTGTATTAAATAGGTATTGCACTGGGTTCAACTTTTGGAATAAATTTTTAAAGCAATAGAAACTGAGGAGGGGAAATTATTTTAATTGGTTATCATTAATTTGTGCTAACTAAGTTGTGCTTCATCGTTGAATATTTTTTAAATACGCTTAAGGAAAGTAAGTAAACATACATTTTATAACACAAGAACAAGAAGCATTTGACCTTATTCATTACAAAACGGCAAATATCTTAGATTTCATTGAACATATTACTTTTTTATTTGTACAGAGAAATAGTGGAAGGGTGAGGAATTTTATATTGTATGCGTAGGTTAATAACTATGAAAGAATTACACTTGCTTACACTCTCGTTACGAAAGAATGCGATGAGTTTCTCATAGCTGGTGTAAATTGCCAACTCTTCGGGTATTTCTTCTTCTCTTCTCTCTGAAATATGCTTTATTAAAAAACGATACTGTATAAAGTATAACCATAGATAAAACATACTCCCTTAGTAGATTTCTCATCCTTATGGAACAGCTGAAGACAATTTTATTGTTAGTTCTGTACGGTTTATGTAGAGGTCGTGTTTTGTTTACAATTTGTTTCCCGTTATTACAGCCATTTAAAACCTCGTTTAACCAAATAATACGATTTAATCATAAACAATAACTTGTCCCCTAGTTATATAACCAAACAGTAAAGCACAAATCAAGAAATTAACCGTAAAATAATAGAAACAAAATTTCGTCGACACTAGCGCCCAGTGTGGCGTACATGAACTAGACATGAAAAACGAGCTTCAAAATTTACAATGGGATGAGAAGTCTACTTGTGTTGGTTAGTCTATGGTATAACCTAGGTAGACAACAGAATACATTTATAATTTTATTGTATTTTAATAGCATATACAGGGTGATTGATATAAGTGTGCCAGCCGTTTTATTCTAAAACTATAAGAGATATCAAAAAAAGTTAAATGGTAAGTGCCTTGGATTTTTTATTTAAAAAATTTTAGTCAAGTCAAATAATTATTTTAGCCGCCTTTTTTCCAATATGGCCGCCAACTTTAATTTTTCTTATGAAACACCCTGTATTTTATTATGTAGGCCTATTCTGGTGGAAAATGTAATTTTAAGACAATTTTATTCTTGTAATTTTTTTCATAAACCTAATCGTTTCAAAGATAATAATGGTTTAAAACCCTTCCAGGGCTAAATTAAATGAAGGGCTGGAGCTTAATTATTTTTTGCCAAAAATTAAAAACTAAAGTGGTTGTTTTTTGTATTTATTTCACTTGAAATAATTCATGGATCATAAAAAGATTTTCCTTAGGGCTGAACTAATTTTTGTACAAAAGTTATGAAGAAAATAAAATTTGATTTGACGGATATACTGTATCCGTCTTTGGCCCACAAAAAACATAAGGTGGACGGATATATCCGTCTGCCGCCCTCAGTGATAATCACAAAATATGAACACTGCCAATAATCTTGAGTATTCTTGTGGGCGCTAGACGGATATATCCGTCAACCTTAGGCTATTCCTTCCCTTGTTTTATTTTTTATCCATAAAAATGTATCTATCATTCTAAAGTAAATCTAAACCACTCAGTTTTGCTCCCATGTCCTCAATCCCATTCCCCGCCAATACTTCCACTACGTAAAGACTGTTCTTCAGGTTCATCATATCCATCACATTCCACACTATTATTTTCCCTGCCAAGTATAAAACCCCTCTCAAAAAAACCTTTTTTAAGCATCTCAATAACATCTTCAATTTTCAGATCGTTTGCATTAGTAAATTCAGCTCAATAACATACAAATAAAGTACAAAATACAAAATGTAAACATCACTCACTTACAACCATGTGTGAAGTGACAGCAATATTTACTTAGGCGCACTCTATGGTGCAAAATAGCCGAAACAGCTGCGGCAATTATTATTGCCAACCACAAAAACAAAATAACCCATTTGTAATGCAGTGTAATGTTTATTACCGTATTATAAACATTGTGTATCAATTCGCTTTTTGGACGGATATATCCGTCTTTATCCCAGAAAAGAAATTTCTCGGGACGGATATATCCGTTTTCAGCCCGGAAAGTAAACAGAGATTGACGGATATATCCGTCCATAGCCCTGGAAGGGTTAAGTTGTGAAATTTTGAATGGTTTTCGAATAAAACAGCTGGCATGCTTGCTTATCGAAGCTTTTTCTCATGCAGAAATTTCAAAACTTTAACCATTATTATCTTTGAAACGGTTAGGTTTATGAAAAAAAATCACAGGAATAAAATCGTCTTAAAATTACATTTTCTGCCAGAATACATGATAAAATACAGGGTGTTCTATAAGAAAAATCAAAGTTGGCGGCCATATTGGAAAAATGGCGGCTAAAATCATTTTTTCGACTTTACTAAAAATTTTTAAATAAAAAGTCCAAGGCACTTACCATTTAACTTTTTTGATATCTCTTATGGTTTTCGAATAAAACAGCTGGCACACTTATATCAATCACCCTGTATAAAGTGATTTTACCCAGGCTATAGATTTTTTTTTATCAATAACACCACAAACAATTTAGCTGAAAAAAACGAGCCCCTTCTTTACCTAGGTTTTGTATTATGGTATTTGGTTTGAATGTTAACCCTCAAGCTATCTAGGAACCCTATATTAAAAATTCACATTCTCGTCCAGGAATATGCTACACGGCTGGCTACTGTGATTAATGTTTAATATATTTTAAAAAAACACCAAAGATATGTATTTTAGAGATTACTTTTCTGTGGCGTTTTTGTCTCTCACGACTTGTGGCATTACACATAGTATTTGGAAAGAGTATTGTTTTCTTCAAAATGTTCGAGTTTAAGTTTTGGGTGGATTTATCCGTTTTGGCTATATAACCCCTGAACACAAAAAGTGGTTTTGGAGGTGATGTCTGTGCGTGTGTGTGGGGGGGGGGTGTGTGAGTGTGTGTGAGTGCGTCTGTCTGTCAGTATGTGTGTGTGGATGTGTGCAGAGCTCTACAGACCACACCTGTAGTCCAATTTTGATGAAATTTGGTATGTAGGTACTATTCCATGGTTCTCCAGAATTTTTTTCTTTTTATTGAAACTTTGATTTTTAATGTTGATCTACAGTATACTATTATAAAATGTAGGTGGTGCCCGTCTGCCCGTCTGTGTGTCTGTCTGGAAAAAATAAGCACAAAGATGTTCCACACATATAGGAATTTCATAGGCCTATTCACTTCCTTGAGTTCCTCTCTAGCCCTTGGATGTCCAAAATTTTGAGGTGAGATTTTCAAAAGTAAATATTAATTAATCTCCATGGAAGTATGAGAAAATTCACAATATTTATCTTGCGTTTACATGTCAATAAAAACAGGCAGAACTGCCGAATTGCTTATTCCGCAATTTATATTAAATATAATACTTTACACTATGAGGCAGGTCTATTTATTCTAAAACTATGTCATTGATTATGGAAAAAAGATTCTGTAACAGCCAGGCCAGTTGCTGTTTCAACCCCGGAGGCTCTGCTTTCGATTTATTAAAGTATTAAAGTTATGAAAATATTGTTATTGATATATATCCATGTAAACAGTAAGACAATTAATTACAATGTTAAGTTATACTTTTTGCATAAATTTAGTAGCTTTTTGTTAATCAATTCAAACTACTCAAGAAGTGTTTGGATTATGCGGTATAGTACATCTTCCCGTTAAAAATTGGTTCTGATTAAAAATGTTACTGTTAATAGGCCTTATAAATCCAAACATAATAGTGCAACCCACCATTGCTGTAGAAATTACGGTTAAAATTATATTGCAACTTTTGTGATTTTTCCCTATAAAATACCATAGTTACTCCCACCGCTTACCCATGATAACGGCTGTTGATAAGCTAGTGGAATAGAGTATGTGTCAGATTGCTAATATTTTTTATATACTTAAATTTTAATTTTAAATTAAATTTGAAATAGGTAGTCCTAAAATAACTTAAAATCTTAAAAGTGCAGGCTTCAATATTTTTACCCTATATAAATTAACTATTTCCATCAAACATACTTGTGTTATTGTATCAATACCAGTGTAGCACAGCAAGAAATTCCCTCACATCATCTCAGAAGATTTCAACATCAACTCACAGAGCCTTCATAAATCCCTACGTTTTGAACACAGTGATTTTCTTAAAGGTGTTGATTGTAATAAATGACAAACTCGAATCCCCTCCACTCAGCTCTAATTGTGTGTAACATGTAAGAACAATTGGCAGTACAGCATGTTGATGGTACTTTGAAGGCATCGCCATTGACTATATTATAGTCAATGGCATCGCTCTACTTAAGAGCACACACAGTCTCTGCCATAAGTTTCAGACTTAATTCAGTTTATGAACACTTAATTTAATCAAGCAGAGGATGCTGGACTGCATTTAGTGCTAGACTCTCTTAAGGATACATTCCAGAAAGGAATAGTTAAATTTCTCTCTAAAAAGACCGGTGTGTCTTCTCACAACTGAAAAATATCAATTCAGAACTACACTCAAGCTTTGTATGCGACCAAAGTGGCCACAAAGTTTGGGAACTGAATACATCCCTATAGTCAAGTGTATTTCAAACACACCAACCCAAACCAAAGACGTTACAATTACATGTCAAAACCCTCTCTTGCCTTAACATCGCATCTTAACGTTTATTCTATATCTTGAAAGTATCTATATCGACTGGTTGCTGCTTTCACTCTGTTAAAATGTATTAATGGACCTAATAATGTATAATTGTGCTGAGTACTGAGTTACATGAGTAACTGCTTTGACTATTAATACAACTGTCAATGGTAACTGCTAAGTCAAGAGTTTAACATTAGTGTTGTGGTAGCTGTTGTGTCCTTGTGTATGGACGTAAAATTATAAATGGCTTAAGCAAATGCAACTGATTAGATGGTTAGACTACATACTTTCAATTCTAATTTTCTAAAATGTATAGAAGTACTTTAATGTTTATACTTACCACAATTTATGAATAAAAACAAACACAGTTTAATTGCTACTCGCAACCATAGGCATATAGTCATTGTGATCGATAGAATCTGATAAGCATCAGATTAAATAATATCTTGTAAGAAAGTTTACATTGTTCAGGCAACATTATAAGAAGAAACCAGTCTGAATCTAAAATGTCACAAATAAATTGTAAAAACAATCATTCTGAACTGAAAGATTAAATTTAATTCTAAATAGTGTAATCATACAAGACATTATTTAGTTTATAGTTTTCTTTGACAATGTCTATTGCACAACTATGTATGATGACAATAAGGGATTCTTATTCTTATTCATTAACAAGTGGGATTAAACAAAAGTTTAGTTGTTCCATTAAAGTAGGAGATTGACTTAACAAGATGTCTTTTGAGAGCTTAAAGATGAAAAGCTTGATGCTGATTCCAGGATTAGATTTAGCCACAATTTCATTAATAAAGTTAAGGAAACCGAGGGAATTGAGAGAATAAATTATAATGATGTAGGTGTCTGAACTTATACTGTTATATTGTTGATAAGTGAATATGTTAGAGCAATTTTAGATGTTGGTCTTAGACTAAAAAAATGTATGCCAACAAGAAATAGCAACGTTACATCTTTACTTCAATGTATATGCACCTTTACAATATAGTTTTGTTGTTGTTTTTTAGCATATTATTAGTATGTTATTAATATATTTATTATTAGATACAATATTTATTCTACTTAGATTTTGATTTCATATTATATTTAAACCTTTATAATAAAATTGTGCTTTTTAAAGTTTTTTTCAATCTTTGATGAATTAGAGTATATTCTAGCAAAATTATTATTGTATACATTAGGCGGATCAGATTATATAATACCCCCGCCACAGCAAACCTGCAGACTAAACGAATTTCCATTCGCCTGATTGGACTTACACTAAAATATCTCCTTAAAAATATCACATTTATTCCCTATTTAAATATAATTAGTTTAAGGAGTACTTAGGTTTGCTGTAACAGGAAGGGTAAAAAAGTGTGTTTTTTTTTTTTAAATGTTAGTACCGGTAGTTTAGTTATTTTTAATGTTCCCATGTTATTCTTATATAAAGAATAAGTAAACTGTGTGTAGTTTGCTTGTTTATGAACATATTTTGATCAAATTTTGAAAATGCATTTATATCTTACTAAACTATAAACATTTTACAAAAAAAAACACTTTTACCCTGCCTGCTGCAGCCAACCTAAGTACTCGTCAAAGAAATTATATTTTAATAAGGAATTACTGTGAAATTTTTGAGGAGACATTTTAGTGTAAATTTAATCAGGCAAATGTAAATTCGCTTAGTCTGCAGGTTTGCTGTGGCTGGGGTATTTAAATTTGTTCTGTGTAATTCTAATGGGAAAAAGTCAACCTTTGCATGTGCCCTGCGCCCTTAAGGGTAAGAATTGTTAAATTCTAAAACCTTATTGCAAATCTACAAATTTAGACGAATCTTTTGACACTTCAAACGTTAAAATTGGTCCAAAAATAAGGGAGGAGTAGTGTTCACAAAAAACGGCTTCACGTACAATATATAATATAGATAGATATCAAGGAGCAGTCTCTTTTTAACTACTATATAAAAATCTGCTGGTGTCTGCCGTGTGTTTGTGTGTATGGTTTTTTTATCACGTAAAAACACTGAACCCACTGTGCTTAAATTAAAAAAAAATAACTTAGCTACCAAAACTACCATAGGAGTGTATCCGCTTTCATACCAACCATTAGTGCAGTAGAAATAGGGTTTGAGGTGGAACTAATTGCAACAGAAATTATTCCAGTTAGAAATGGTAGGTAATACACTTATAAAAAACATACTAAAAATATACATTTGTACTGTTACGCAAAATACGGTTTTTTGGTCGCTATTAAAAAAAAAGTGTAAAATTTTAAATTATTGTTAAAAAATCTGGTTTGGCATCAAATTATAGAACATTTCATGCTGGAAAAGAATATAATGGTTGAATTTAAAATATACTGTTAAAAGTGATGCAATATGGGCGAAAAAAGGTGCGTTTAAAAATGTGGCATTTGAAAAGTTTTCTATTTATAAGTTATTTTATACTTTTAAAATTTGTTTTTTTTTATTTTTGACCCTTAAGACGTAAAATTTCCCAATTTCTCTCTAGACCTTTTTAAAGAGCTTAAAAAACAAATGGTTAAGTATATCAAACAGGTTTTGTACGATTATTGGTAACGGGGAAAATTCAAAAAATTGGAAATTTAAAATCCCCATGTTATTCTTATGGAGAATATGGTAAAAGTTGTAGTTTCCTTGTTTATGGATATATTTTGATAAAGCTTTGAAGATTTATTTATTTTATACTAAACAATTAATATTTTACTAAAAACACACTTAATTGGTTTCCTTGTAGCAGCAAACCTTGGTACTCGTTTCGTTTAACCTAATGTTATTTATTTAATAGACTAGCAACAGAGCCCATTGTGGTTAAATTAATGCAACGGTCTCTAGTAAAATAATGGTTATGAAATCCATACACCACTTTACTCACTAATATGTGGTACATATTAAGCTCATAATAACACACTTAACATAAGAAACACACTTTAAACACAAATGCAAATTGTTAACAACAATATTCAATCAAAGAAAATTTAATTAAATAACAATATAACAATAAGCTGTTAAATTATCAACTCATTTTTCGTATGGTTAGATTATGCATACTGGTAAATCAATTATTGCAATCTATAAAAATAATTGGTTTTTCTTTTCCGAGTCGGGTTAGCTCTTCTACCAGACCGATTTTCATAATGTTGGCCTTAAGCCGGGTTTACACTATGTAGCTAAACCTGCTACATTGCAGATTTGTGTAACATCTAGCAATGTTATATGACATTTGCTAGAAGTAGAAAAAGTAACTTTACAAAAGTGCTATATAACAGTGCTATATGTAGCAGATCCTGCTATATATAGCTAAAATTGTGCTATCCATCGGGAGTCGGTAAATATCAAAAGAAATACGTGCTACATCTAACATTGCCATATGTAGCAATGATATACATATATTTTTCGTCTAGCATCTAGCTATATGTAGCGCTGAACGGTTTTGCTCAGCGATCTTTGTTTACAATGGAAGGACTGGACACGGAAAGTGGCAGTGCCTAGGATCGGGATGATATTATCGGGGCTATTGATATTATAAACTTAATTGAACTGTTCCGTGGACAACCGGCGTTGTAATCATACGTAAAACGTTTTTGAAGTTACCATCGCCTTATTTAGCGTTTTAATTATGGATTGTCAGGGTATTCATCATCATTAAGGTCCCGTAATAAATCTGCTACACTGTACTTATTTCTCGAAGCAAGAAGCGGTCAAACCTAAAACTTGCTAAAATCTTCGCTCCTGTCTGTCTCTCTCTCTGACTTCCAAAATCACCACGATAGCTGTCACGAACAATGTCTCTTCAGCGCACATTTTGATACGGAATGCGAATGAGGTTGTGCTACATATAACATATAGCACGAGCACCAGAATCACTAAAACTGTTTGTAAATTTTTCATACAGCAAAAGTTATAAAGCAATGGTATATAGCAAAAGTTATATAGCAGGTTTTGCTACATAGTGTGAATTCGGCTCTCAACTAAAGCTATAGACGCACCATAGATTTGCTAGCATCAGCACTCATTTTGACGTATATTTTGAGCTATGCACAAACTGCCTCCCTGTACATTACTTATGGGAGTTAAATTTGTTTTTTTCGAGTTCGTTTGGCTCTTCTACCGGACCGATTTTCATAATTTTGGTCTCAAAGCTATGCAAGCACATATTTGTCATCATTAATCTATCAAATGTATAACCCTACGAAAACAATTAAATTGGATTTTTTCAATTTTTACTTCAATTAAAAATGTATTCCAGCAGTTGCATTATCCTATATGTTTTTATCTAAAAATCTTCAGTGAAATACCAGATTCCATTGGAATTATTGATTATTGAGATTGGACGTACCTAAAGCACACTGCTAAATTATAAACGATCCAAATTGTTTAAAAATGGAGTTATCTATCATCGATTTATAGTTAAAAAGATCTTACTTGCAAACTCAACAGTACCTAAGCTATTTGTCGACGTTGACGGGTTTCACCTAGCAAATCTTAAAAAATCAAACTTTAATAATTATTTGAAAATCTACACGAATTCCTTTCCAATGACCCATTAGGTTATAAAATCGGTCCAGTAGAACTCTAGATTTAGTTGTACAAAGATTTTTAAAACTGAATTACTAGATTTAATTGAAAATCAATTAAGACAAATGGAAATTCGTTTAGTCTGCAGGTTTGCTGCGGCGGGGGTATTTTGTACTACGATCGTATTTCTAAATAGTGCTTATAATCACTATTATAACATTTTTCAGCATTAAATTTCCTATAATTTGATACCCAAAAAGTTATTTTTACGAATATTAAAATTTTGACACTTTTTTCAAGATGGCGGCCAAAAAACGTATTTTGCGCCAGAGTACGGATGTATATTTTTAGTATGCTGATTAGAAGCATACTACCTACCATTCACAGCAAGAATCATTTGTGTTGCAATTAGTTCCACCTTAAGCTATATTTTCGATTATTTCTACTGCACTACATGCCCTATTGGTTTTAAAAGTTTTGAGGTGAAGCTTTTAAAGGTAGTTGAATGGTTTGGTTTCCATAGCAATGACATAACCAACAATGTTTACATTAATCTGTATATTGCATAGTTGCAACAGGGATGAGTCAGCCAAAGATTATTAGGCAAAAACCTAAAAATCGCTGATTAGTCCAGTCAATGAATGATCCAAAAGTAGGTGTAGAGTGCGTGAGCAGGTAACTAAGCGATTCCTTCAGAAACTTGTTCAGGGGGCTTAGGGTGTTAACATACCAAAAGTCCTGACTCCTATGTGGTGAGCCAGGGGGTGGAGGGGGGAAAAAGGGGGGGGGGAAAAGGTACGCATTTTGGGTTTTTTGATTATATCTCGAAAACTATCAACTTTTTGTATACTATAGTAAATTATAAAATTGAAGAAGATTAAATTG